ATCTGAATAGGTACTGTTTGAACAGCACATATTGCTAAGAAACTGGATCTTGAAAGCCCTTGGGTAATGACTCCAGTGGGCATTCAAAACTTTTATTTTGAAATCTGAGGGATTTAGAAGACAATCAAGGTTATGTGCTAAGAAAAAGGGAGTTGGTTTTCCTGGTATAAAATTCTTCAAGCTAAATTTAAGCACTGAGATAATTAAACCAGCTAGGTGTTTTGTTTTGTTTTGTTTCTTTTCACAATAAAATAATGTCTCTAACTAGACCTTGAAACTTTCAGTAATTTAATGAAAAGGGGCATCAACATCTAGAAGAGTATAACATAATCCATATATCAATTGACTTTGGGGAGGGGATGACGAAAAGACAAATATCAAAGCAGATTGTTAGTATGCCCTTTCTGGTTTTTCAGTAATTATGTGGTACACTGCAGTTTTTAATATTGAAAATGATTCTAAAAGTTAAAAGTGGTATATGAAATAGACTAGAGGTTGAATGACCACAGCCTTCTGTACTATGCAAGTTGCTTCAGATTTCATCCATTCTGTAAGAGTGTTTGACACTTACATTGAATACAGATTTTTAATTGCTTTTAATACCTAAAAATGCATTTAGGAAATAAGTTATACTATATTTTAAGGAATATACAACTATTTTGTAATTTATATTAGAATCTCAAGATTCTGTTTCATTGCAAGAAACTAAGCTCATGAAAGTGGCCTTATTTTTTGCAGACAAATTTTTTCCTTCTAATTTTGATGAGAAGACTTTAGATTTACTTATTTGGGTTGACTGTGAGGAAAAAGAAGCATGTATTCATCTTATTTCCTAAGTAACTTTTGCATAGCTTGATTTTTTTTTTCAATTAAATTTGAAAAGTTTAGAGCACCCATTGGAATTAAACCTTTAGGCATGGAAGCAGAATGAATCATAAAGGTAAAATACTCTTTCTGCAAAGATGAATGTTGGTCATTTTATAATAGAAATAAATACTTGAATTTGTAATAGTCCTTTATTAATTAACAATCTGTTCTCAGTCAGGTATCCTATTGGACCCCTACAATAGGCTTGCTAAAATAAACGCTTGCATTATTATTCCTACTTTACAGAAGAGAAAACTGAAGTTGGGAGACATGAAGTGACCTGCTCTGGTTCACATGCCTTGGGAGTAGAATTGAATCAAGTTCTTTTGAGTGTAGATTTTCTAAATTCCATCATAGCACCTTTCAACTAACTAAATCAAAGACCAACTTTTATACTGATCTAAGAGCCTGAAGTTTGTGAATGTCTGATGTCTCACGGTGATGATGTTTGTTAGAATTAGGGTAGAATATTCAGAAGAAAACTGTAGCTGAGGTAATCACTACAGTTATGTTTTTCCTTGGAATTTAAAGTTGTTATAAGTAATTCAGAGTAGAGGCAGGCTAATAGCTTTCTTCAGGAAGGATATGATTTAAAATACAGTTTTGAAAATGTTTAACCTTAAATTTAAACCTTACAAGTGTTTTGGCACAGCTTGTCACTGTGCTACCATCTCCTCTCCCAGTATTTTGTTTTAACCTTAAATGTCAAAAAGAAACACACTGGCTCCTTATAATGATTTCTCAGAATGACACAGCTGTTCAGTGTGTGGATTTTATGCATGGTATGTGAACTAATTGCTTTAAATATTTAAATGTGTTGGAACATTTTTTGTTTGTTTTCCAATTCCTTTTTAATTAATGTAAAGAAAATTTGTAACAGTTCGAAAAGAGTCTCATCTTTTCCACCTTTGTGATATTGTTTGAATGAAATTCAGGTTAAAAAAAAATCAAAAAATATATTTTCATCCATTAAGTGGTTAACAATAATATCAAATGTATCAGTGTGAGTGTGTGCATGTGTGTGTTGTGAGTTTGTGTTTAAATACGTCCTATATATCTACTCTGCTCTATATTTTAGGGTGAATAAGAAATTGAACAATTCAAGTTCTTGTCTTCAGGGAGCCCAGTGTTTTGAATGATGAGCAATAATTCAAAGCATAACCTTGAATTGTTCTAAAATTTACCACCGCCTTAATTCTTTTGTATAGGCTATCAGTCACAAAATACTTTATCTTTTAAAAAGTTTCTCCTGGTTTTCAGTGGGCCCTGACCAAATTATTCATAGATAATTGAATTCTCTCCTCAGTAACCCAATTTATATCAGGAATCATAAAAAATAATTAACTACTGAGCTGTTAAATCTTGATATTTTATTTGAAAATATCACCAGAAATACTTTCCCCAAGGACAGGAATATGTAGGCAGAAAAATGAATTGACAATGTATTATAAAACCAAAGAATGCTCCAGGATCAACAGCCAAACCAGCCTTTCTCCACATCAGACCTCTGCAAAAACAAGCCCTCTAATTAACAGCTCCTGGCCTCAGTACAACTGAAATTGAGATGGATTTGATTTTTTTTTAAACATAAGATAGAAAAGAGAAAATAAGATAATTTCTGATTTTTAAAATGCTACACAACAGGTCAATGTTACATCTTAATGTCTGTGTTTTCTATTTTAAATAAATAATTTAAAAATATTCTGAACAGTTCATTTATTTTATGACTGACTCCTGATTAGCAGTTAGGATGTGAAGTTGCTACATTAGCTAATGTAATTTATGGCATCTGTTCTG